GCGGTTAGGACGGCCAAAATGCGTGACTTATCTTGTGGCGGGGTGAATTGGTATATCAGACAAGGCAGTAGGTGTTTTCGAAATCAATCACGTGCTTAAGACAACTGCAAACAAATCAGACGAAGTTACAACAATCGACAACTCTGTATTTGACATAATCATAGGCGTGAGAACTTGGTAAAATGCCAAGCGATTTTCTAAGACTAGCAGAGGCTACAGTTTCAAAGACGTCTACAAGACTGGCACATCTTGGGCTGATGACAGACTTTACTGCTTGCGATACCGGGGAGTGTAAAAACAGTTAAGATGGTTTTATCAAGTCACTCTATCTAGATGACTATCTATACTACAGCGGATACACTTACAAATACACACGGATATAGCCAATCTCCATGGCTTATTCTTCAACCGCACTGATGTAATATACAAGAGGTGATGAATACCATTTACAGTGATATAGAACAGAAAGTTTCGTCCAGTAGGTTTCTCAGTCTTACTGTCAGTCATTCTGCAGCTCTTCATCCTACCTTGAATTCCTCGCTATCAACTGAAATAAATCAAGTTTAACCAACATTATTATGTTCATAGCGATCACTACAAAAATTATTCAATAGCCAATCCATCATAAAAAGATTTCTGAGCTCTTAATTCCGTTTTCCAAAAGCCAGCTGTGAAAATCCTCCTCGCTCAAAAGTATCGGAGCAAAGACTAGCAATCAACTCAACTTAGCATCAACTTCATTGAATATGAAGACGTCTTCGATAGCGTCGACCAAGAAGTAATTTGACAACTGCTGTTTCAACACAACGGTTTCACCTCCAAAAACCTTTATCAACCTCATTCAACAGAAGCTACATGCCATATACATATACATGATGCTACACACTACATACTACATGTCAAGTGATTCACAAGGAAAACGTCAGTGATTCCTTTGAAGTGAAGACAGGGAGAAGTGAGACAAGGTTGCCACCTACTACCAACCATAGTCTTCCAGATTGTGGTCGACTGAACTACACGGGACTGAATCAATCATGCAACAAACTGTCAGGATCTGTGAGAAGATGAACATAAGCTGTTTGATAGATGAAAAGACCATAGAACATCTGGATTTCACCCATGATGACTATTTATATATCTGTCTTATGCAGGCAGCATCGTCTCAACTACAGGCGGGACAGGCACAGATGAGGATGTCAAAGCAGCAAGGATCACAAAGACAGGCCTTCCTTCGTCAATCTGAAATCAATGTGAGGATCCACTGCATTACCATGCACTGCACTGCACTCAGGATGAAGCGTGAATAACATCCAGATTCTCAACACTGAGTCAGTCAGTCAGTCAGTGCTTCTATGTGATGGTTGAGAGACTTGGCGCGTTACGAAGAGCATTTCCAACAAACTGCAGACATGCATCACATGAACAGCTGCGGCCATCGCTCACTCGGTACTGAAGATGGAGATCAGGTGACCAAAAAGGCTAAGCGAGTTGGAACTCGCTCTTGCTTGCCAACCAACCAACAACCTTATCACCCAACAGATATGCAGAAGAAGAAGAAGGTGAAGATGGATTTGATTTGATGGGAAATATACTGAGAGAACCGATTAGGGACATCATGCACCACGCCAGGTCAGACAACTGAGTGGAAATCGAAGGGGACACGATGATTTGAGGGTCCTACGGTGAGATGGAGGTCGTGTGAGGAAGAAACAAAGCGTTTTGGGGAGCCGTGGAGGCTTGTTCAAAAGACTGTAGGGAAGAGAGTGAAATATTGACGTGCTAGTTAAGTCCGATGTTCCACTAGGAACCCATAGGACAGAAATTATATATATATATATATATATATATATATATATATATATATATATATATATATACCAATGTATTATTATTTGTCCTTTAGGTTCCCAGTGGATCATAGGGCTTCACTATCGCGTCATCACTTCACTTTCTTCTCTACAATCCTTTGAACAAGACTCCACGGCTCCCCATTAACCTTCATTTCTTTCTCACACCATCTCCTCCATGTCACCCTCACCTCGGATATCCAACTCTAGGTTTCCCATTTTGGTTCCACTCGACGGCCTGGCGCGTGATGTCCCAAAACCGTGTTCTCAGCGTATGTCCAATCCAATCCATCTTCACCTTCTTCTTCTTCTGCATATCTGTTGGGTGATAAGGTTGTTGGTTGGTTGGCAAGCAAGAGCGAGTTCCAACTCGCTTAGCCTTTTTGGTCACCTGATCTCCATCTTCAGTACCGAGTGAGCGATGGCCGCAGCTGTTCATGTGATGCATGTCTGCAGTTTGTTGGAAATGCTCTTCGTAACGCGCCAAGTCTCTCAACCATCACATAGAAGCACTGACTGACTGACTGACTCAGTGTTGAGAATCTGGATGTTATTCACGCTTCATCCTGAGTGCAGTGCAGTGCATGGTAATGCAGTGGATCCTCACATTGATTTCAGATTGACGAAGGAAGGCCTGTCTTTGTGATCCTTGCTGCTTTGACATCCTCATCTGTGCCTGTCCCGCCTGTAGTTGAGACGATGCTGCCTAGGTAGGTGGGTGTGAGAGATAATTTCCTTTAGATTTCTCTCATTCATGGTGATTGGTGCTTGTTGTTGTTGCCGTGGTCACCAGGGTGAAGAAAATTTTATTACGCTCTCTTTCTGAGTACATAGGTCACGTTGAAGTTGTTTGATATGCGAGAGTTTCCGCAAACTGTAATAAGTATGGAGTTCTTTGTTTGTTGACTGTCTTGAAGGATTGAGAAACATCTATTTGATGTCCTGTAATTTTTCTTTGACCTACGTTTTAGTAAACCATAACCGTTACGTGGTTTAAACTTGTGCATCTTAAGCACAGAGAATTTCTTCATTCGTTGTTTAATAAATATTGAGTGCTAGGATGCCTTTCCTGCTTTCATGGTGAAGTAAAAAAATATGTAGCAACCGAGCAACTAAGAGGATTTATATTGATGTTGGTGAGTAGCAGAGGAATTCAGGAAGTCCGTCCCGTCCTATTTTGGATTCACTAGGTAGCTGGATGTAACCACCGAGGCTGCAGCCCACTACACTTCACTCCATACGCTAAACGCGTCATCCACTGAGCCACTGGGGCATGCTGGCCATCTCTTGTGCAACTGCTGTCAGTTATTGTAAGGATACTTGTAATTTCCCGCTGATATAAAGGGTTAACGGGGGTAGAGCAATTTAGCCCTATATATCAGCGGGAAACTACAAGTATCATTACAATAAGAGGATTTATGTTTACTAGGGTATGAGTAGCATGTAATGTATCAGGTGTACTAAGTGACCTGGATCCCAACAATCTTGGTGAGTACAATAGGATATGACTGCCTGATATACTTATTAAAAAGTTAGTATACCTCAGGTAATAATGCCCATTTCCATTAAAATGTAGCACAAATAGTCAATGATAAACATTCAATTTGGAATTCATGGACTGACATCAGTTAGAGAAACATTTATATCAGTTTATGATGAATAACTAACCTGAAATCAATGAACCTCTATAAACCTACAAATTGAACAGTTTTAAGTCAATTTCAACGCCTCACAATTCTGAAACAGTTGAAAAACTATGTTATTCTTACTTATTTTCATCTATTTTGATGTTAATTTGAGAATTAAGCTGTTGGTGTGTTTAGGTATGGTGGTCTAGTTGAACCTTGAGGTTACACAAATTTTCCACCGAATATAAACATCAAAATCCTTTCCTCTCAATGTATTTTAATCATTTAAATATGTTCTCTGAATGTATTATGTACTCTTGTACATTTTTACAGTGTGCTCAACTAGCCATTCCTTGAGATAATAACAGAGCAACGAAAAAACTTCATCTTACATGGAAATGGAATTTTTTCAATGTACAGAAATACATTATATTTCTTGGATATTTTACCTTTGATTGCAGACTTTTGTAATGACTGAATGATCTATCACCACCGAAAGTACCCTGGATTTTTCGTTCAGTCTTTATTCTAGACTCGAGGCTAATTCAATGCCAGTTGGTTGTTATTGCTAAAATCATTCAGATGCAATAATAATTTCTTTTAGAAATATTGTTATGGAAGTGACTTTTTTGAAATATCACATACTGGGAACTTCACATTGTAATAAAGTGATTATTACCATTATTAAGGTTCAAAACAAAAAGTCAACGCAACACTTAACCGACCGTTACTAAACAGGAACAATTTACTTGTATATTTGTATGCACAAAGAACAAGATCCGGATTTTCAACACAAATTCGATCAAGTCAGTGCTGCTATATGGTTCAGAAATTTGGCGTGTCACGAAAAGCGTTTCCAACAAACTACAAGACATTCATCAACAGCTACCGCCTACGCTCACTCGATACTGAAGATTAGATGAGAAGGCCAGAAAGAATAAGCAACAAGGAACTCTGGCTAGCTGGCAACGAACCAACCAAGAACCTATCAGTATAAATGTTTTTATATCATACCGTTGTTGCTCGGACCGAACTGATCGGTCCCAAATAGGACGAAATGCGCATCCTGGATCCCACTGCTAGCCATGATCCATCATTAATACAAGGACCTATCACCTAACAAATATGTAGAAGAAAGTGGAGATGGATTGGGCATACACTGAGAAGGTCGACTGGGGACATCACGCGTCGGGCCAGACCGTCGAGTGGAATCCAAAGGAGAAACGACGAGTTGGGCGTCAGAGATGAGGGTGACATGGAGGAGATCATGTGAGGAAGAAATGAAAGCTTGTGGGCAGTCGTGGAGCCAGGTTGAATAAACTGCAGAGAACAGAGTGCAATGGAGGCGCGCTCATGAAGCCCTATGTTCCACTAGGATTCCAAGGGGGAAAAATAATAATCTGGAAAATGGTTGTATACAAATACGGAATGAGTGGAAATAAGATAGCTAATAATGTCTGTATATATGCTTACAATTTTCTAATCAACATTTACAAATAGTTTGGATAGTGATAAGAGGTACAAATCAAGTTTTCAGTTCACAATAATTAGTAGTAAAAGATGAGTTGTCAAGTAAACTCTTTGTTTTCATTATTGGCGCATTGAAATAAATGTCTAGTGGTTCAGCATTACCTTTCTCGAAAGGATTACCAGGATCATTATTATTATTATCAGTACGATTGCGACGGTATACCTTTTCTTTACTGTTATGACTACAACTATTCGCTGATTCATAATAACAGGTTGACTGTAATCTAAACGGAGGGATCATTTCATCCGATATCATGATCATCATTCGATCAATATCTTCTGTGTGCCATTCTAATAAATTGACAAGTTCACCAAATGATAATCTTTTAGTCGGATTGATTTCCCAACAATAACACATTATCATATAGATTTCATTGGATGCTAATTCTGGTTTCTGATTACGTACACCTGAGAGAATTAAGTTGGTTACCTCCTTTGGATCAACATTTGGAAATGGAGTTGAGCCAAGCGTGAATATTTCCCATAGAAGTACACCAAATGACCAACTGTAAAGTGAAGAAAAATAGAAAAAATGCATTACAGAAACTATATATCGAAGACGAATACTTTTCAACTCATTACTAAACGGTTTTGAAGTGTACCCATCAAACATTTATGACTTTAGGGGGGCTCCAAATTAACCAATCAGATATGCTTTAGATGGTTGAAAAGGGATAACGCCAAAACACTCATTGAAGCAAGAAAACTAATAACTGATACTATAAACATTTTCTTTTTGTCCTCTGAGTTCTGATACGCAAAACTATTGTCATCAATCTAAGCAACACATCTTCAATGCAGCTTTATATCAAGCACTTTAGGTTAACTAACCTTCTTCCAAGCATTAGAACCGGAGTTGCAAATTTTACCATTATTTTATTTCGATACATCACTGGCCTTCTGCATAACTTAATCAAGTACCCCTTATTAGTAACGACCAGAGTAAGAAATATATAGATGGTGAAGAGTAACCAGATAAAGAGAGATATAAAACTGATCTAAAAACACATTAAATGTTAATTCAATTGAGTTAATCGAAACTCACTACTCAGCAACCTTGCAATAGGTAATAAGAAAGACCTATTGTGTGAGGCCTAATAAAACTTCCTAGCTGCCTAAATCTCAACAGATGGAGTGACATTCAAAGCTGTGACTAACTCACTGATTGGAAGTCAACTGTGTAAACCAATGAGCAAAAACTTCAAATTGACTGCTAAACTAAGTTGTATAGAGGTATTAGATGCTATGATCTAATGACTGAAGAACTTTGGTGAGTTTTAAATCCGTTGCAAATAATTAGATGTATTCACACTTCTGTTACAACTTCCTGCATCTTTTATCATTATTAGTGTTGTGTATCTATTCTTTATTCTTCCAAATCCTTCATCTTGTTTACTTTGAATACATTGTTACTTTCGTTCATTTTGCAACATAAAGTGCGAAAGTTGACGGATTTCAACAGCTGGAATTCTTCAAACAAAATAATATAAATACATCCTATCCACTCGTGAATACAATGAACAGCTAACTTCGTCTAATCATTCCATTTTCAAAAAAAAAAAAACTTAAGAAACCAGTTCAATCAACATCCAGATTGAAAAAAATTGGAATGAAACTGAGCAGAAAAAGAAAATAGAACAACACCAAGGAAAGATTAGTCTGGAGACACCGAGAGAGAAAGATGAAAGTAAACAACATTTCTAGCTTAGAATAAGGACGATAAAGGTTTTCCTTCAAAATTTGAGATTCACTTTTGAACGTCTGATACCGACGCCAGGCGAATTCGTCGGTTTTCTAAAGAAATACCTGATGAAGTCAACTAACCGAATGGTAAAACGTCCGCGAAAAAACCATAATGAACCGAGAATCAAGGGATTTTTAAAGTTAAGGACACTGTAGAATGCAAATAAAACAAGCTGGACAGCGAAATGAAGGAGAGTGAACGGAACAGAAACAGAACAAGCTATTGGTAGGAGACCTGACAACAATATGTCAAATAGCCAAGTTATTATCTAGGAAGATATCAATACAGATAAAATCGATGAAAGATAGTGAGGAGGAATAAAAGAAACGATGAACAGACCACTTCAAAAATCTCTTCAATCGACCATCCCTACCACCTGCAACTCGTCCAGAAATACCACTTGCAGCCCAGCACCCAGCCACAGAATTACCAGTGAACACAAGCCCTCCGACAAAAGCAGAAGTGAAGTCCACAACACCATAAAGCTGCAGAAATCCAGGAAAGCAGCGGAAACAGATGGAATTCCTCCACAAGCACTGCGAACGGAAGCAGAGACAACAGCAGACATGCTCACACCACTTCTATCACAGAAGGTTTGCAAAGAAGCAAGGTAAGGTACCTACCTGCCTAATGAGTGGAAGTAGGGCAACCTTGTCACACTCCCAAACAAGGGAGACCTAAGTCTTTGTGAGAACTGGCGAGGAATCATCCTCCTATCCAAGAAGCACCAAGGAAGAATAATAAGCCGCATCATCTTCGAAAGACTAAAAGATGCTCTGGATTCCAAATTACGCCCAGAGAAATCTGGCTGGTTGGCCTGCTGGATTCAGGAAGAAGGAATCATGTGCTGATCGAATTTCAAAGCAACTCTATGCGTCATCATAGAACAGAGTGTAGAATAGAAGTCAACTCAATTTAGTTTCAACTTCATTGAATATGAAAACGTCTTCCATATCGTCGACCAAGAAGTAATTTGACAACTGCTGCTTCAACACAACGGTCTCACCTCCAAAAACCTTTATCAACCTCATTCAACAGAAGCTATATGCCATATACATATACATGATGCTACACACTACATACTACATGTCAAGTGATTCACAAGGAAAACGTCAGTGATTCCTTTGAAGTGAAGACAGGGAGAAGTGAGACAAGGTTGCCACCTACTACCAACCATAGTCTTCCAGATTGTGGTCGACTGAACTACACGGGACTGAATCAATCATGCAACAAACTGTCAGGATCTGTGAGAAGGTGAACATAAGCTGTTTGATAGATGAAAAGACCATAGAACATCTGGATTTCACCCATGATGACTATTTATATATCTGTCTTATGCAGGCAGCATCGTCTCAACTACAGGCGGAACAGGCCCAGATGAGATCAGGATGTCGAGGGGCAGTCAGGATCACAAAGACTGCAAGACAAGCCTTTCTTTGTCAATCTGAAATCAGTGTGATGATCCACTGCATTGCCATGCACTGCACTGCACTGCACTCAGCATGAAGCGTGAACAACATCCAGATTCTCAACACTAAGTCAGTCAGTCAGTCAGTCAATGCTTCTATGTGATGGTTGAGAGACTTGGTGAGTTACGAAGAGCATTCCCAACAAACTGCAGACATGCATCACATGAACAGCTGCCGCCAACGCTCACATGATACTGAAAATTAGATGTGTGAAGACGAGAAAGAATAAGTAAGTTGGAACTCGCTCTGGTATGCCAACGAACCAACCAACCAACCAACAACCTATCGCTCAAGAAATATGCAGAAGAAGAAGAAAGTGTAGATGGATTTGATTTGATTTGATTGGACATATACTGAGAGAACCGATTAGGGACATCACGCACCAGGCCAGGCCAGGCCAAGCGAGGTCAGGTCAGGTCAGGTCGTCGAGTGGAACCGAAATGGGAAATGACGAATTGGGTGTCCGAGGTGAGGGTGACGTGGAGGAGATGTTTTAAGTTAGAAATGAGGCGTTATGGAAGGCCGTGTGCCTTGTTCAAAAGACTGTAGAGAAGAGAGTGAAATGGTGACGTGCTAGTGAAGTTCTATGTTCCACTAGGAACCCAAAGGTTAAATAATAATAATAATAATAACAATAATAATATAATGGAATGCGAATCGTAGATAGGCAAGAAAATCGTCAAGAGTCTTCACTAGTGAAGGTAGACGATTATTTTAGATGTTCATCGTAGCATAATCTCATTACGTTACCTAAAGCATATCCTTTTTGATAGATTGAAAACTCGCATAGTATACGTACGCTTTACTCACCCTCTCAACTGAAATTTGACCTAATTTTGTTTTACTATACTTCTATACACTTCAGTCTTTTCATCTCTCCTCACTTTTGTACGGAAAAAATACTACCCGAAAAGATGACCTCAAACAACTAGATTAAAACAAAACATTCATACTTTGAGGTATTTTATCGACCATCCACACACTCTTCATGTAGACTAAGCATATTTAATTTTGCATTCATTGTGGAATGACATCACCTGGAGAACCATCGTAAACCTGAGAGCACTGGATATCTTTTTCATCCTGGTATCAAAATCTCAAGCAGCACGCATCCACTACCCCTCCCTGACACACATCCAACACAGTATCTTCATGTCTCGAAGCGAACTCGTTAACCATTCAGCCACTAAATCGGATTTCAAAGGTCCACAATTTTCTTATCCATGTAAAATTTGCTGTATAAAGCGAATATCGATAAAGATCTTCGGTCGGCATCCAATTCATTTCCGACTGGTAGACTCCACACGTCACAGATTTTCATCAAAAGTTCGGTATATCCCACTCGAAGCATATCACTAATGGTCACAATACAGTACTGTAGTTTGAAGTTTATGAGGATTTCATCTTAAAGGCTAAAATTCAACATATGTTCAGTGCTCCCAATTTTTTGAAATGGTTCCCTCAACTGATTTCAGTCCGTGATGAATATAACTTTCAAAATAAAATCCACATAAACCTCAAAATAAAAACATATCACTTTCAAATATTCCACTAATGTACGTAGGCGCCAAAATCGAAAACTACAATGAATTAGCGCCAAATGATAAATAGACTACTGAATAGTATATGTCACCTATGCATTAATGAATAAATAAATCAAATTATCACTATCATATGAATAGAAATCTTCAAAGATATCTAACCGAAGAGACCAATAAGGATTGTGATATTTCTACACTTCTACATAATAAATACTATATCTACTTCAATAAAAGGCATTCGGTTTCTCAGCGCATCGTCTGGAAAACCGATTTGAAACCGAGTATTGGTTTCAATCAGTAATGAATGACAAGGCACAGTTTTTGTTTAGACTTTTCCTACTCTGGTATCCCCCTAGTGATTATCTTTAAGTTATTTTACATAAAACACAAAGCATCGCTTTATTGTGTGATGTAGTCATAAAGGTGGCCTTGCATTATTCTTTGAATGAGATTTTAGTGGATATCAAGAACCTAAACATCAACTACGTTGGCCAATTCACGATAACAAAGAACCATTTTCCCTACTGTTTAAAATAATATTAGATAAGTAAGCCTTTGAATACACTGAGAAATAAAAAGTACTTTAGAAAATGACTACCAGGAATTAACGTACACATCTGATTTAATTGTATAAATCCTGTCGGTTAGACATTCAGGTGCTAACCATTTCACGGGGACACGACTCTGTAAAAAAAAAAAAGGAACATAGGAAATCAACGAGAATTAATTTGAACACATTTAACACAACACAACCTGTTTGATATGGTAATTAGTAAAGAAACCTGATAATAATCAACAACCAATTCGGACATCCAGTATCCTTTTGTCGTTTACTGGTTATAATATACGCTCAAAACATTATTATCATTTAACCTTTGGGTTCCTAGTGGAACATAGAACTTCACTAGCACGTCACCATTTCACTCTCTTCTCTACAGTCTTTTGAACAAGGCACACGGCCTTCCATAACGCCTCATTTCTAACTTAAAACATCTCCTCCACGTCACCCTCACCTCGGACACCCAATTCGTCATTTCCCATTTCGGTTCCACTCGACGACCTGACCTGACCTGACCTCGCTTGGCCTGGCCTGGCCTGGTGCGTGATGTCCCTAATCGGTTCTCTCAGTATATGTCCAATCAAATCAAATCAAATCCATCTACACTTTCTTCTTCTTCTGCATATTTCTTGAGCGATAGGTTGTTGGTTGGTTGGTTGGTTCGTTGGCATACCAGAGCGAGTTCCAACTTACTTATTCTTTCTCGTCTTCACACATCTAATTTTCAGTATCATGTGAGCGTTGGCGGCAGCTGTTCATGTGATGCATGTCTGCAGTTTGTTGGGAATGCTCTTCGTAACTCACCAAGTCTCTCAACCATCACATAGAAGCATTGACTGACTGACTGACTGACTTAGTGTTGAGAATCTGGATGTTGTTCACGCTTCATGCTGAGTGCAGTGCAGTGCAGTGCAGTGCATGGCAATGCAGTGGATCTCCACACTGATTTCACATTGACAAAGGAAGACTTGTCTTGCAGTCTTTGTGGTCCTGACTGCCCCTCGACATCCTGATCTCATCTGGGCCTGTTCCGCCTGTAGTTGAGACGATGCTGCCTAGGTAGAAAGACAGGTAGGTAGGTAAGTAGATTTCTCCCATTGATGGTGATTGTTGTTTGTTATTATTGTTGTTGTTGTTGCTGCTGCTGCTGCTGGTTGCATATCTTCATCACCTACCCTTGTCTTCTCTACGTAAGTCCACCTGAAGGAAGTCCCGTCTTCGTTGGATTCCTCGTCTCTTCTACCAACTTGTTAGTTTTTGTCTGTAGATCTTCGAGTTTGTGTGACATAAGACAGACATATGAATAGTCATCATGGGTGGAATCCAGATGTTCTATGATCTTTTCATCTATCAAACAGCTTATGTTCACCTTCTCACAGATCCTGACAGTTTGTTGCATGATTGACTCAGTCCCGTGTAGTTCAGTCGACCACAATCTGGAAGACTATGGTTGGTAGTAGGTGGCAACCTTGTCTCACTTCTCCCTGTCTTCACTTCAAAGGAATCACTGAGTTTTTCCCTGTGAATCACTTGGCATGTAGTATGTAGTATGTAGCATCATGTATATGTATATGGCATATAGCTTCTGTTGAATGAGGTTGATAAAGGTTTTTGGAGGTGAGACCGTTGTGTTGAAGCAGCAGTTGTCAAATTACTTCTGGGTCGACGCTATCGAAGACGTTTTCAAAGTCGATGAAGATTATATGAGTTTATATGGCGACAGATGATTATTATTTTTGTTCAACAGGGTAGAACAAATGCTTTCGGAATGCTAATGCTATGGTTAGGGTTTTGTGTTGAGTTTAGTAATAAGCCCTAATATTCCATGAGGGTACGGGTACATTAACTATCTAATAAACCTTAAATGATATACCATATGAACTTTTGATGGTTTATCTAATTGATTTCTAGCTGAAATAACCCCCCCTCTTAGGGATGTTTTATGGACTATATCGAACGAGAGATTGCACGTTAAAAATGATTTTTGATCATTAAAGTGATATCACCGCTACAGTTAGATACTTGAGCAATTAGCCACTTGGCCATAAGTATACTAATTGTAAGCCGTCTCTTTGAGACATGTTACAACAAAATACAATCTTTAAACACTTAAGTAACTAAGAAATGAAGTAAAATATAGTTAACAGTTGTGCAATGTTAAAAAGAAGGCTAGGATGCTATTCAGGCAATCTTTCATGACCATAATTCAGTGTCACCGGATAAATAAAAGGATTCTATTCTCTGTTCTATAATTCGGGTTACTTCTGAATCTCTCCCAAAAAGTCATCTGTATGTGATCAGCAGCAAAAGAAGAATGCAACCTCGTTGTATTCAGCATCATCATCAAAACAGGACCAGGCACTGCTGCGTAACGGTCCGAGTTTCCACAGCACATATCACCACACCAAGTAAAAGGGCATTCAAGTGGAAGATGAACAAAAGAAAATTCAGTCAAAACAAATATAAAGTACGAAAAGAAAAAACCGAAGAATGAGAAAATGGTGAGATTCGGTATATAGTCGTTAAGATGACGATATTGTGTACATACATATGCGCCACTGACATCAGTTCCCAGCCATATCATCTACAGTCTCAAATCACTGCTTCCTCTTGTCCCGCAGATCCCAACCACCCAATCTGTACTGCTCCACAGGGCTCAAACTAACAGTCGAAGACTTCATACATTGCTGCCATGTTTTAGTCTGGCCACCTCCAGACTGAACTTACTTCGGCCAGCATAATGTGATGAGGCAATCGGCAACTAGGCATACGTAACACGTCTCCCAACCAGCCATCTCCGTCGATGAAGGTTCATAACCGTGTTAACTGATTTCCCTTTTTCTCCCTAAAACTCTACTCCTGACTTCTGCGTTACTCACATGGTCACACCACGCAATACAGCCTATACTACGAAAGCAACGGTAGTCAAACAACTAAAGCCAGCCTTCCCATGTCTTCCACCTTCAATGGCGGCCATGTTTCACAGCCATACAGTACAACACAGCAGACTGATGTGAAGTACACGCAACCCTTAGGAGACAAATGAATATCACGGCGGCGCCATAGCTGGCCTAAATTGGCAACAGCCAATCGAGCCTTTTATACCCGTGCACAGATTTCATCAGCCACCACCATCGACCCACCAGGGATGATCCTAATTCCCAGGTAAGTGAAATGCTCAACACACTCAACCACGACACTCACTCTCTATTGTTAGCCGTGGCACCACCGAAGACCAATCCTGCAGCAGTAATTTGCATTTGGGTGGTGAAAATCGCATCCCAAATATTCTCAAATCCCCACTCAAAGTGTTCAGAAGACTCTGAATCTTGTCAGCGTCTTCACCTAACAGGACTATGTCATCTGCATATTCTACGTCTAACGAGAATTCTCCACCGATTACGTCAACCTCTTTGTAATTAGGTGACGAGATGGAGACCTCCATAAGAATATCTGTGATAAAATTGAATAAAAATAGAGACAGTGGGCACCCTTGACGGACACCAATCGATGAGTACAGCTAACCTGACATCCGACTGGATAGCGGGCAACGCAATCGTGGCTGGAGGCCAGGTAAACTGTTCCTCAAAGTGTTCTGCCCATCGTTCCAGTCGTCTCCCCTGCGAGTGAATCGCAGATCCGTCCTTCTCCGCTATAGCCTCACTAACTGTTGTTGACCCTTTCCCCCCAGTCTCCTTAATAAGTCTAAACAACTGTCTACTGTTACCAGTCGCCCCCGCCTTTTCCATCTCTTTAGCCTTCGCTGTCCACCACTGTTCACGATCGTTGCGCAGACTTTTCATCAGTCTACTTTTGAGTTGCGCTCGCTCTTCATTGTACTCAGAGCCTGCAGGCAGTGATGCGTTCACGTGCATCCATTGGTTCGGAAGAAGCTGCTCACATCCACTGGTTCTTTTTAGCCACTATTTCGGAGTCACCTACGGTCTTCAACGCTGCTTTTACAGCAGACTGCAGATGGCACCAAGCTTCTTCTGGATGAGTGATAGTCTTTTGTTCCGATAACTGTCTAGCCAACTTTTCACTGAACACAGCTTTGGTGTTTTCGTTGTCCAGCAACATCATCATCATCATTATCAACGTAGGACCAGGCATTACTGAGTAACGGTCCGAGTTGCCACACCTCATATCAGTACATCAAGTAAAAAGGTAGTGATGCGAAGGATGAAGATAAGTGAATGCAGTCAAAAGAAATATAAAGTACGAAAAGAAAAGAAAGAGTGACAAAATGGTGAGATTCGGTATAGCGTTGTTAAGATGAGGATAATGTGTGCATACATCTGCGCCACTGACTTCGGTTCTGAGCCATATCACCTAGGGTCTCCAACCACTGGTTCCTCTTGTCCCGTGGACCCCAACCACCTAGTCTGTATCGTCCTACATGCTTAAACCAACAGTCAGAGACTTCACACATTGGTGCCATGTTTTAGTCTGGCCACCTCGGGCCTTTTTCCAGCCTGGTCCAGCAACACTCGTAGTGGTTTTGTTGCCAAATTTTTCCTACGTCCATTGAGACGCAGACATATACGCGCTCGGACCACCGCGTGATCGCTTTCCAAATACGTACTCCAGAAGGAGCGACAGTCTTCCACCGATCCTCTACACCGATGACTAGTACCAATGTGGTCTATTTGTATCCATCACTGAGTTGAGCTCGGTGGAAGCCACATCACACAATGTCTTTCTTTATGTCTAAAATTTGTGCTAACTAAAAATAGGCGGTTATCTGAGCACAGTTATAGCAGGCGATCACCGTTATCTGTTCGTTCAGTGCCACCTAAGTGCCTTTCTGCCTCACTCAATCTACCCACCTGTGCATTGAAATCACCTGCAACAACCACCATGTCCGAACGTTTGGCTTTCGAGAGGAGGCTAGACAGTTTACGATAGAACTCGTCCTTCATTTCATCCGAACTACAGTCAGTGGGTGTGTAAGCAGATATTACAAAGAGACAACGGCGAGTCTCACTGTGCCGTCCAGCCTCATAGCGCAGAGGCAACTGTCAACTAGGATCCAGTCTAGTAGTGAGTTTTCTGCCCTAGTGCTTAATGTTATGCCTACACCTACAAGACCACGAGAGCTAGTTATCGAATCTCCAGAAACTCGGAGAGGATTCACCAGATTGGTCAGGAGAGGTCAAGTGAATAACCACACTTGGGTCCTGTATGCGTGTCTCACAAACACAGCAAACATCCATGGCCCGAGTTGCTACAGTCTTTGCCAACGAAGTCTGTTGACCAATTTGACGGAGGCTGCGGACATTGAAAGCTCCAATATGTAATTTGGAGTGTGGTTGAAGGAGACCAGGGATGCTGTTCTGTGGACAGATCGTTGTCGAAGGCTATGGAGCTAGGAGAAATTGAAGATGATGCAGCATCATTAATTAAGAGACGTGAAGGAAGATTAGAAGGTAATGATGGAGGAGGTGGATAGCAGTCAGAGGAAACTTGGGTGCTGACAGAGTTGTGAGGGCGGTTGACACTTCCCAGCTGCCCACACCGTGGAAGGCTATTTCTTCTAAAGGTACCTGGAAGAGATTTGTGTGACCGCTGAGCTCATCGGACATCTGCTTGAGACCTATCACACACGGCCTTTTGAGTATGATTATTTTGAACTTTTGTATTTTTTGGGGTCGGATGGTCGAAAGGAAACGACAAGTGAACCAACACCGCCGGCCCAGCGAACCGTGGTGCATAGTGGAGTGTGCTGTTTTTGTGGTCGACCTTTTCAAAACCCCATCAGCACCATCAGCATGGCACTGCTGGTCACCCAAGGGAAACACCTTACTGCTGTCACACCCCATCCAGCTATCAGCAGTACGACTTCTCCCTCAGATCCCCATCATGGTGTAGTATTCTGCACCACAACGGTAACTACTTTTTGTCTAACCACTATCCAACAGACCTTACTAGTATGGTGGAACCTAGAGGGAACAAGTGTTCCACCAGCATAGCTCCTCGGGTCATTGTGATGTGCAAGCCCGACCACCACGTCAAGGTAGCAGCTATCGGTTGGTCTGACATATAACATAATTCTAAATGCGATTTGTGTTATGTTCAGGTTTTGTATAAGAAGCTGTTCAGAAAATTCCAATAATAACACGTGGACTTTAATAATATACAATTCCGCTGTTTAGAAAAAAGAATAAAGTTTACACTGTTGTGTATACTACTGATAGGGATGCATATGTTTAAAAGTGGAAAGAAGTCATTGAAAATTGCGAGTGGTAAATAAATATCTTGCTCAGAGAAGCACAGATGATGTGGCCGTATCAGTAGCAAGGCAAGATAGAAGAAAAAGATGAACTTACATATATTGCGCAAATTGATATTTCAATGGAAAGTTATTTTATTCGTTATGCGTAAATTGGTAAAATGAGCATTTCTTTCTGTGATTCACCATTCGCTCTTTTCCTTCAATACCACTGAACAACCACTCAGGCCGATCTGTAGACCTAACTACTTAATTTGTTCAGTAGTAGTATATTTCGCTAGCTCATGATACTTTCGCGTCAGAGGTCATGCCTAATGATCTTGACTGGAAGGTTTATGGTTTCCAACAGAAACCCTTTTGACACCATAATTAGGCAGTGGAAAAACTATTCAGCTGTGAGAAATGCCAGTGTGAACCGTGCAATTTGTAAATCACAAGCAAACTAATAATCCTACTTCATAGTTTAGATTTAATCCCATAGTGAAATTGGTTGGTGAACAACTCCTAATGGAAACTTATAGTCTAAACACCGGTTCGTCGACTCTATTGCTGCTATATGCTACTTGCATTTCTTTATTTGGCACTAACATTTTAAATGCGTGTTTGCTTGCACCATGGTTTTCGAATGACATAACTTGTTAAGATTTTTCAATTGGATTGGACCATAAATATATCCTACATTATCTCCACCTGCATCTTCTGGTTAAACGTTATCTGACACTAGTGGACAAGCAACCATTTTTGCGCTAAGAATACGTGAAAATATTTGGGCTCGTAAATACACACACGCGCATACTGGGTAGTCAGACGCACACCTACAGCAACCTCAGTAACTATTATTCTGGGAAAATGGGCACCTAACAATGGTCCATTTGTCACAATAAAGGAGTTCTAGAATAGTCTACATTTAATCAACTATTAATAATAATAATAATAGTGATAGGAAACTTACACTCTTCGTTTTACGGTAGTAACTCTCCACTTGTCTAGCCAGTCCAAAATCAGCTATCTTTAGAACATTCTGTTTACCAACTAAGATATTACGAGCAGCCAAATCACGATGTACAAGCTATAAAAAAAAAAGCAATATGTGCGATAACAAGAATAGTCACCAATAAAAAATAAGTACTTATCATCAATATCAACATGGTACTATACATTACTGTGTAACGGTTTATAGTGTCAAACCTCATATCTGCATATCAAGCAAGATGGCACTACGATGAAAGATAATAATGAAATGCAGAAGAATCGGCCAAGAGTAGCAAAACGTGGTGAGAGAAATAAAGGAAGGAATAAGAAAATACGACACTCAAACTGATCTTCCCGATTACGGTGAACTGGACTGGATGATGCAACAAACTGTGAGGATCTGTGAGAAGGTGAACATAAGCTGTTTGATAGATGAAAAGACCATAGAACATCTGGATTCCACCCATGATGACTATTCATATGTCTGTCTTATGTCACACAAACTCGAAGATCTACAGACAAAAACTAACAGGTTGTTAGGAGAGACGAGGAAGACAACGAAGACGGGACCTCCTTCAGGTGGACCTACGTAGAGAAGACAAATGTAGGTGATGAAGATATGCAACCAGCAGCAGCAGCAGCAACAACAACAACAACAACAACAATAACAAGCGCCAATCACCATCAATGGGAGAAATCTACCTACCTACCTGTCTTTCTATCTAGGCAGCGTCGTCTCAACTACAGGCGGAACAGGCACAGATGAGGATGTCGAGGGGCAGTCAGGATCACAAAGACAGCGAGACAAGCCTTTCTTTGTCAATCTGAAATCAGTGTGGAGATCTACACACACCACACCACACCACACCACACCACACCACACCACACCACACCACACCACACCACACCACACCACACCACACCACACCACACCACACATCACTGCACTACACTACACTACACTACACTGCACTCAGCATGAAGCGTGAACAACATCCAGATTCTCAACACTAAGTCAGTCAGTCAGTGCTTCTATGTGATGGTTGAGAGACTTGGCGCGTTACGAAGAGCATTCCCAACAAACTGCAGACATGCATCACATGAACAGCTGCCGCCAACGCTCACATGATACTGAAAATTAGATGTGTGAAGGCGAGAAAGAATAAGTAAGTTGGAACTCGCTCTGGTATGCCAACGAACCAACCAACCAACCAACAACCTATCGCTCAAGAAATATGCAGAAGAAGAAGAAAGTGTAGATGGATTTGATTTGATTTGATTGGACATATACTGAGAGAACCGATTAGGGACATCACGCACCAGGCCAGGCCAGGCCAAGCGAGGTCAGGTCAGGTCAGGTCGTCGAGTGGAACCGAAATGGGAAATGACGAATTGGGTGTCCGAGGTGAGGGTGACGTGGAGGAGATGTTGCAAGTTAGAAATGAGGCGTTATGGAAGGCCGTGGGCCTTGTTCAAAAGACTGTAGAGAAGAGAGTGAAATGGTGACGTGCTAGTGAAGTTCTATGTTCCACTAGGAACCGAAGGAACAATTAATAATAAACTGAGGGTACCGTGTGCATATATGGACTTCCCTGACACCAACGTTTTGCCCATTACCTACAGTTTCCAACCACTGGTCTCTTTTGTTATGCGAAAACCAACCGTGAACCAATCAAAGATCTTGTGTACTGCTTCACTGGCTACCCCCAGCCTTATTCCACCCGGAATCTACTTCACCTAACATTGCAAGAAATAAGGCAGTCGTAAACTAGACATGCGTAGCACATATCCCAGATACCCTCAATAGATGAAGGCTCACAACCTCACCAACTCACTTTCTTCTCCACCCTGAAACTCTACACCAGTCTTTAGCGTCACTCAGGTGGTGACACCATGACACACGGCCTATGCTACAAAGGTAACGGTAGTCGAACATCTGAAGCATTCTCATGTGATTTTGAAAAGGCGGAGAATATTTGTAGCTGATGTGGTTCAGTTAGCTCGGAGAACACAATACAACCAAGAGCATTCTTATGGCCTGTACCTTAAACGGCCATTTTTTCACAGCTATAGGGTAGAATAGAGAAAAGTGTAGCGCAGTACACTTGACCCCTGACAGACGACCGGATATCGCGGCGGCACCGCAGATGGCGCAAGTTAGCAAAAAGGAGTCGAGCCTTTTGTGTACACGGAGAGATTTTGTCGGTCACTGACCACCGAGAGCTGATCCAACTTCTCAGGTACGGTAGATGAAGTGTTCAATGAACTCAAACATTTTAAAATAGGTACTAGTAACTTCATGAGCAAATTTCGCCATGTGATTGCATTCATAACTGAATATGATATGTTCTATGGTTAGATGGTACGAGCTAGTTGAAGGCCATATGACCTGTACAATTCTGTAAGTAAAATGCACTTTATTTTAAATGGGTTGTACACATTCACTGACGGTTCATTGCTTAATATGAGCATTGGAGAGTGGCACCACATGCGGAAAAAAATTAGCACCAAGTGATATTTAAATGTGCAGTAAATCTACTTCTGAGTAGAGAGGAGAGTCGTGTCCAACGGCAGCCAAAAGAAGTAAAATCTACATCTTGTTAGTGTGGAAAACAAATCTTCTAGTTGTATTTCTATACGCTATAACACTAACTTTTGCTTTACCTTGAATTCGCAGTGTAGATGTCGAACTAACAGTACACACTATATCATGTGTCCAAAGTGCTATTCTAGTTGAAGATTTGATCAGAATGGAACTACCTTCAACATTTTTCGAAAGGCCAACTTGATGACGAACTGATTGCGTGAATACGTCCAATAAAAGTCCATAAGAAAAGTAGAATAATAAAATAAAATAATCCTTTATTTTAAAAGAATGTAGCTAAGATAACGCGACTATAAAAACTTGACTGCCAAAACTCCGGTAGGTGGAGCGGGGTTCGAACCCATGACTCATCAAATGGAAGTCATCTTCCGAAACCAATGAGCCACAAATCCACATCGTAACTGTGACCTATATATGAGACAGTTAATGGTTGACTAAAAGTAATAGGAAATGCACTTTCTACAGGAACTCAAGAGTTAAAATAGAGCCTCAAGTGTACACAACCCCTAACTATGTGGCATTCGTGCAACACCAGTCAGCAGAAGAAATTTGAAATGTGTTGTAAGGATTTCTGGATGATCTAAAGAAAGCGATTGAGTAATATTATATTAATATTAGATAATATTACATATGCTTACCGATTTTGTTTCTAAATATCTCATGCCACAGGCAACCTGATAGGCAAAATCTAAGAGTATGCGAGATAACTTGTCACAGTTTTTCAAAATTTTCCTATGACGACGGAGATATTCTCTTAGGTTACCATATGGAGCATATTCCATGATAAGAAATGGGGAACCTAGAATTCAAAGGAAATAATCTCATATACATACATGTATGCAGAACTTCAAGAAAATGTCATCTCAGGGTCCTTGTCGTCTAGGAAATACAGACTGTGTTATGGTATCCAATATAATTGTCCAGATCCCTTAAAGAAACTTAAAATCTATAAAATCGCTTACAAACAATCAACTCACTTTAAGGACTCAACGACGTCGAGGTTTTCATCCCCAGGCTTGGTGGTGACATCCTCAACACTAACTGCATAAAGAAGGGGGGGTGCCGTAATGTTATACACTAACACAGTAACCAATAGCACAATTTCACCCTGACAAAGATTCCCTATTAGCATGATGGAGTGAAATGTAAGGTCAAAGTCGTCAAGGTACGATAAAAGAACCTGTCTCCTAACCTACAACTAAACAGTACCTGAGTATTCATGCAACATTTGAATATACTTCACTTCTTTATGAAGCTGGTGCTGAAGACGTCACTAAGTTGAGTGACGAAGCGTCCACGACAAAATATCAAAGCTCAGTTGACATTGAAACATCATCGCGTATAGACCTTGCTTTACTGCCTCCTGTGTTTCTATGGGATCGACCAACCATCAAGATTTAAATCTGAAGATGATCTTTATCAGATAGTTTCGTCTGTTAATGACGCAGATAGCATACTGGCGACTTTCCAATCAAACGCTTCATTTCTCGTTGTGAAACAAATGCTGACGAAGCCACCTAGTCTGGCGATGAAACGTTTAAGAACAAGCCTCAAAGATCAGAAAACACCAAACAATTGTCACGCTCATCTTGAGCTAAAAACCTACTTTGTTATAAGTCAAAAAACAAGATGTGTTGACATTAAAAAGGATATAGCACAGTATCTCATCGTTATTGAAGGCACGTTCCCATAGGCTTCATCTACGATGGCAAACACCTTACTCAACGGAATATGGTATTCATAGATTATACAGCTGATGGATAGCAGTGGAATTCAAGACACTTGTTTCGTCCTATTAGGGACTCATCGGCAGGATGTAACCACACCCAAAAAGTCGAGCCATTGGATCCAGCAAAGTAACAGGAAATTACAAGTATCAATGGACAAAAACTGATACCCGTTGCAGAAGAGGTAGCTATGTTGTCCCAGTCGCCTAGTGGACAACGCTTCCGCTTTTGAATCGATAAATACTGCATTAGAGTCCCAGGGGGATCAATTTCACTCATTATGGAGTAGGCACACCTACTTGACAAGTCCCAGATGGGACGAAACACACTTGACTTGGATTTCACTGCTTGACACCAAGTACACTCGAACAAATTTACAGTTAACTTTGGATCATTATTCATCTTATGAGAAGATATTGTTCTTAATGTGTGTTATTTATTAAACAAACACATTTCATTAGTTATTTTTGTTTATATGAACATTAGGAAAAATCATCAAGTGGACTTACTGTTTTCTGTGCAGACTCCATACAATTCAATGATATGAATATGACTTAACTGTTTCATTATATCCATTTCACGTAAAAATTCATGTATATCACTTTCTGTAAAATCATCTGTGTATGAACAACAATGAAATAATAATAAAAATTTACAAAATGATGCGAAAAATCATTAATTATAAAGGTAAATAATGAGGACTGATGATGTAAAGGATAATTCATTACATCATACACGCCAAGTTGCATCAGTAAACCTTTAAAGTAACAAGAATTCTAAGGTGCTACACATCCTGATTTGAAAAAAACTAAGTTTAATGTAACTTTCAATCCAAAAAAAAAGTGTTAGACTAGGAACTTTTACGCCTTGTTGTTAGTTGATTGAGCATTCAGTTCCCTTTACGGTGTTATGGTAAGTAATTCTTGGTGTTACTGTTAGTAACATACATGCATGAACATTTTCCGGATAGAGTCACTCTGAAGTCAATATATCTGTCATTACCTTGTATCCTATTGATCTATTTGCGATACCTCGTAATCTTACATGTTTCTATACTTTCTTGTCTATGTAGACATTCGCATAGGCGACTCTGTCAGTCATAGGACTGCAAACACTAACTACATTTCTTGAAGTCCGTATTTCAATACCACTGCACATGAACACTATAGGTTTTTACTGCACAACCTAGATGATTATTAGATTTCTATTCACTACATGATTATTTCGAAAATACAACTATAAATGCTGCCGCATCCACCCTGAAGTGAGCAATCATAACCCCTTTAAAGATGTTAAGCAATCATCGTTTATTTCTGTTATATCAGGCCAAAAGTGAAAAATGTAAATCTCAGATGAATGTTATTGGTCCGTATTATTTTGAAAATCATTTTACTTATAACTTCATTGGCAACATTTTTGCATAGCTTGATTCAAGAGCTTTCCATTTACCCCTTATCTACTCTTGTATGACTTACGGCTAGGAAATTATTGCATGTGTTAGTGAAACTCACTATTGTGCATTACCAAACGTTTTGTGCTCTAAATTGGTTGAGTTGTCTGAATATTGTGGTCAGGTAAATAAGCGGTACTCATACGGATGAACTAGACCATGTAAAAAATAAGCGGACAATTAGAAGCAAACTTTATGTTCGATTGCAAGCCGTTGGGAGGAGGCCAAACAGTGTGACTCACTGGCCTAGTGGATAACGCTCTGTCGTTTCAAGCCAACGGTCCCGGGTTCGACTCCCAGTGGTCAACATCGCTCACTGAGAGTCAGGTACATTCACCTGGCGCTCCCCAAACAGGACGAAACATACGATCTAAAGTACACCACTAACCACTATCAAAAACTATCATCATAATAAGTTATCCAGTCAAGAAATCCCCATCAATTCATAAAACAAAAGAAGTTTAGAAGAAATCAGAATGAAAAGATTTTTGAAGGTAAAAATGTCCTCACAGGTTATTTTCATTACAACTCAAGTGACTGGACAATTTTCTTTTGAACACAGAGTTCAGGCTTCAAAATATTCATTGACACAGCTTACACACTTTCAAGAAGTTTTAGGCATACACCTTTCACGAAATTAGCACAAATTCTACAGATCACACTAAAGTTGTTTTCTCCATTCACCGGGTGGTCATAATCGATCAAATATTCGAAAATAGACCTGTGAAGTTTACCACTTGCTCCCTTGTGGAACCAAGCTGAGGAATCTTCAAAAATGCGTTTGGAAAGCGAACACTGAGTACCGTCAACATATCTTACTCCACAGCAGCAGATGAATTGATAAACACAAGTCAAGGAGGCCAAGGAAGTTAGCTTATCCTCTACACATAATCGAAGTATTGGGTGAGTGGAGAAAGTTCACCTGTGTTTGGCAGCATAAAAGTCATTCTCAGACAGTTTCTCAACATATCTGCTGATATGTCTCCGTTGAACTTTAAGCTCACCTAAAGAGTCTCCTTAGGAACAGTAGAAGTAGAATGGTTACTTGCTTACAGTTTCATAGTTTTAGCAGTGAAACACTCAGGATACTGGTTTTCAAACAAAACGTTTGTGAGAAAATTAAGTTCATCTTCCAATGTATTAGGACTGCAGGTAGTGTGGATTCTATGGGGCACATAGAGGGAATCAGATTTCGTCTGGTGCACAGAGACATCTAACTATGAAAATTCGTAAGTTGTCCACCCCACGTGGGTTTTCTGTGGATAGACCTTTCAACTGATCCACTGTGTTGCCTTTTGAGCTGCACATCTAGAATGCATATCTCAGAATTATCTTCTTCTTCCTCCCAAATGTCAACCTGATTGAACATTGGCAGTCATTAAATTGAAACAGGATATCTTCTAGATTCTCTCTATTATGAAAGTTGATGCTGAAGGTATCATCTACATATCACTTATAAATTTCGAATCGCTCGATCGCTCCGCTTAAGTGTGTTCTCTGGCTTCCCCCTGAAGAAATCTGCAGGCAACAGGCTCAATGGTGAACCCACAGATATTCCGTCCTTCTGTCCACATAGTTGATTAGGGAAAGGAAAGCTGGACATTCATGGTGCATCTCAACACCAGCTCCTTCACATCATATGTGGGTATTCCAACATTCAATCCATTAGAATCAATATAGTCATATTGTCTCAGTCAATAGGACGCTTGTGATTAATGAGACCACATGTGTAAAAAGAACATAATTTCGGTAGAGCAATTCACAATATCAATAAAGTTGACGAAATCAATACAGTCAGGAATTGTATGAAGTGAGACTTGTCTTCTTATCGGCTACAAGATTTCGACTAACCATTGGACGACACGATGATAAAGTGATCCTGTCATGTCGAGAATAGGTCGTAGAAGTATGCCTTCTTCGTGCATCTCTGGCTGTCCCTACAGACAGGGGATAGATATTTGACCCAGATAGTCAGTCGCAGGAATCCAAATAATTCGCAATCTATGAGAGAATCGGTCATTAATTTTCAAAGAATCTCGGTTGATTGTTTTTCAATTTGATCCGTCTTCTTCTTCTCATTCATACGGTTTTATAAACTTGTTTCATGCAAGAGAATAGACAACATTTATACATTCTTAGTGGTTCATCAATATAACAATATCTCACCCTTTATCAGCACATGCCATTATACGTTCCTTGTTGTTCCTCAATTCTCTGATCTCCTCCTCCCAGTACTTCTTAGTTGATATGGCCTGATACATTGACTTTGTGCTGATAAACTTATGACAGGTGTCGGGAACTGTTGACTTGAAGTGTTCCACTATTCTTCAGATGCAGGTGACAAATCATGAGTCTGATTAATGAGGTTTTCAAATTGAATTTGAGTATGAAGTTTGCTGATACATCGAAACTTAGTGTGAAATTCCGGACCCATGTATGATGCTTCCAGTTGAACTGTTGATAATTCGGTATCTGATGAATTGAAAGCATATTTCTCTAGCTTGCTTGGGAACGGTTTTGTACTAACTGTAGTTGCTTTCAAACTGTATAATAATTCCGATTTAGTGATATTAGACTGTTTCTCTAATACTTCGATGACACAATTTTTGAAAAATTAGCATAAATCTGCTTGTAGATCATGGATAGCAGGTATTTTGATTTACACCTTAACGTACTAGTTCGGTAATCCGTAGTTTAACCTCATGTATATGGTTTAGTGTATGATGCTTCAGTCTTCAAATTCGACTGAATGTGACTGGGTCTAAGTGCTTTCCAATACAGCTTAGGATATTAGTGTGGATATGAGCAGTCGTTTTGTACTGGAAGACGATAACATGAACCTCATGAATTCGTCTAGAATTTAGGTGCAAATGAAGACATATTTGTCTCAGCTGCTGAAGTACTACGTCGTTGGTTAGCATACGAGATGTGAATTATAGCTTTGAAAATATTCATCACTAAAGGATGCCCTCAAATGCATATATGTAACAAAAAAACGTTAAGAATGATTCATTTAAGTATATGCAGTCAATTGAGAAAAATATGACAAATTGTTACTAAAGCTTCTTCATTATGAGTGGAGTTCTTTTTTTCATGTAATCCACATGATAACACTTTTGTATCATTCTGCGTCATTCTAGATATTGGTTTCCTCACCGAAGATCTGCTTAACTTTTTAAGTATGTTAGACGAACAACGAAATGCTAACCACCATATTAGGGAGGACTTACACATATATAAGATAAACCATTTGATAAAGTTATGAACAACATTCAAGTTTAAGTGGTTTAGTCAAAGTAAAGTCAAAATTAGTGCAAAACGAGTATTCGAAAGATCACAATAAAAACTTTTTCAAACAGTTACCCACCGCCCGTGTTTAATGACAACTGTGGGAAGAGGAATTTCTCACATCTACTCTATATAGGATAAAAATCAGTGATTAGGAATTAGAACACGGCATGAAGTAATTCCAGTATCCCCATAAACACCAAATTTGAAGAAAAAACCTGCTATTGATACGTTTCTTCAATGATGATACTGATCTTCACATCAAGTTTTAGAAGTCCCTATGCTGTAATCGCTCTCTGACCTTTGAACTTCCTCCGAAAGGCTTTTGACAAGATCCTAAGTGTTATCTTCAGCACTGTTTCACAAGGAATTATGTTCTTACTTGTCATTCATCAGTTATGTATCGTTTGATTTAGGTTCTATGTTCATTTAATCATAGTACATTTTGCAATAACTCCACTAGTTATAGGTGAAAATAAACTTCCAGGAGTTTATACTAATGCTTCGTGAAAAATAGCTAGGGTGATAATACTAAAACGGTTTTTCGTGGTCAGAACTATTCACCTTGAAGACTTAATTGAACCGTGTTCATCGGAATGCTCGTTCCTAAAATTCTTATCTTGTTAGAAAGATTTGCTGAAAGATGGCATGAAATGTCCCACAATACTTCAGGTCAGGGAGATGGGTTAACCTATTACAGCAGTGATCTCTTTTCAATAGATAAATAATGCAACGGTGTCATCTGGTCCTCATCATGACAGAGAAAGTTGATCGTAGAAACAGTACATCCCTGCCATCTAATAGTCTTTTTATCAGTAGTAAAGTTGTCAAGGTCTTGACTTTCCTGAAATAAACCATAAGTCTAAAGTGGTCATGTAAAACTTCAAATCAGATGTTCATTGAGACCTCTAAACATGTCACCAAGTTGATAATTTTATCAGTAGCAAGCAAGCTTTTTCCATCCATCCCAAGATGATGAAACGCGTTATGATGCTGGTTCGGTGTTCTCTGATCTTTGATATTTTCTCGTACACGTTTGAACACTAGGCTTAGTGACATCCTCAGCACTAGCTGAGAACATCAAACCACCATCATCCTCAACCTCAGGCTACAAATCTTTTGGTTTGGTGTTCTCAGCACTAAAGTGTTTATGAAGTTAGCGCTGAGGATATCACAGAGCCTGGTGTTGAAATGTTCACAACAACATATCAAAGCTCAGAGAACATCGAACCTGCATCATAACGCGTTTCATCTTCTCGGGATGGTTAGAGAAAACTTGTTTGCTATTGATAAAATGACCAACTTGGTGACATGTTTGGAGGTTTCAATGAACATCTGCTTGTAAGTGTTACATGATCACATTAGATCTATGATTCTATTAGAATGATTTCAGGACTTTTTTCCCACTGAATGGTACTGTGTACCTTAGTTTGGTAGTACACAGTTGCTTTAACGTTAATCAAAACTACCTAAACGAATTTGATAAGAATGACAGATGAATAACAATACAAAGTTTCTAATTCACTAATCAGAAAAGTCACAAACCTCTAAGCGTTTTGACAGCAACTTCGATTTTTTCATTTTTATTTGGATGTTTTGGCAAATTTTCTGCAACACCTTGATACACAATTCCGAATGCTCCAGAACCTAAACGACATATTAATTGTAGATTGTTTCGGGAGAATTCATATTCTTCATCTTTTTCAAGACGATAAGAGGATAAAAATCGATCATCCAACTCTTTTACACGTTGTACATCTTCTTTACTTATACAATTAGTATACAACAGTTGTCGACGCTTTGAATTTGTATTATGAGATGTAAATCTTTCTTTCATATCAGTAATTAATTTAGGTGGATGTCGAGTTTGGACAGTATTTGTATGAATTACAGGTTCCTGAACAGGATCCAACACATATAAGTTATCAACTGTCAGTTTCTGTTCAGTGGTAGGCTGATAATATTCGATATGGCGGGCAACGGATATGAACTTGTACACAGAAACTACAGATTTCTTTCTCCATTCGTAAATACACTGCATAATAAGAAGTGTTAGGAAGAATGAAAGAATAAATACGATGGATGGGACAATCCAGTGAGAAAATGCTGAAGAGAGAAATAAATACATAGAACCAGTCAAATTATCATCATTGTAACGAGAAAATAGAGTAAAAAAGAAACGCTTTAAGTGTAAGCTAACTTCAAGATGACCGATAAAACAACTCTCTGAGCATTCTAGAACTAATGGAGTGATTCAGAAATCCACTTTTGTAACCTAGTGAAATAGGTAGATAGGTAGTTTTCTCATAGAATAAAGGATCCTGATCAGTAATTTCAATGGCTGCTAGAGATTTAATCAGATCAGAGTTATATCTTTTGTGTCAAGGCTAGGAGCAGATAAAGTTAGTACAATGGCCATTCGACCACGATTTCACGGAATGCTGAATTTCGGGTGACTCTGAAGGCCACCCCATCAACTGTCGAAATAATTAATCAGCTTTTGATATATCGTCTAGAGTGGTAGCTTTTTATAAAATAAAGAAGCCTAATTGGATATCTTAATAGTTGCTTGGGTGGCTTTAAAGGTCACTCTAAGTTCCTGAGTAACTTTAAAGGTAACATTGGCAACTGCCGAGATAACTAAATACGTTTCTCTACTGTATGGAAAATATCCCCTCTAGCCGGAATACCAAGACCTGATTGGCTATTCAGTAGTTGGTAGGGTGACCTATAAGTATCCCATATACCTACCCATTCAAAGGCTTGAGTAATGGATATCAAGTGTTCCAGTAGTACGAAGTAGATATCAGTGACTTAACACATATTCGACTGATGATTTGTCAAGGCCGACTTTAAAGGACACCGTAGCAACAATCGAAATAAACAATTATATGTCTTCATTTCGGTTGGAAAGGCAGATTTTCATGAAATATAGGGATCTAACTGGTTATTACAGCTGTTGCTAGGTGACCTTTAAATTCACCCAATTCCACATGCGAGGAACTTTAAAAGCCATCCTAACAACGAATGAAATAGCCTACAACCGTTGTCTATCTCTACTGAAAAAGTAGCTTTTGATAAAATTTGTTGCCACAATAGTTGTTCGAATGGGTTTTCTCAGACATGACTAATCCACAAGCATATCGGAATTAAAATGGCAAAGCTCTACCATAAACCTCCATCCATCCATCCAAGTCAACATAGGACCAGGTATTACTGCTTAACAATCCGAGTTCCCACAGCACATATCACCACATCAAGTAAAAGGGCATTCAAGTGGAAGATGAACAAAAGAAAATTCAGTCAAAACAAATATAAAGTACGAAAAGAAAAAAAACGAAGAATGAGAAAATGGTGAGATTCAGTATAGAGTCGTTAAGATGACGATATTGTGTGCATACATATGCGCCACTGACATCAGTTTCCAGTCATATCATCTACAGTCTCAAATCACTGCTTCCTCTTGTCCCGTGGACCCCAACCACCCAATCTGCATTGCTCCACAGGGCTCAAACTAACAGTCGAAGACTTCATCATACATTGCTGCCATGTTTCAGTCTGGCCACCTTCAGCCTGAACTTACTTCGGCCAACATTATGTGATGAGGCAGACAGGGACTGACTAAACATACGCAACACGTGTCCCAACCAGCCATCTCGGTCGATGAAAGTTCACAACCGTGTTAAATGATTTCCCTTTTTCTCCCTAAAACTCTACGCCAGACGTCTGCGTTACTCACATGGTGACACCACGGAATACGGCCTATACTACGACAGCAACGGTAGTCAAACAACTAAAGCCAGCCTACTTATTAAGAAGCAATGCCGTAGGAAACAATTAATCAGTCACTTGGTTGCATGCATAGTTAAATGTTGCACCAGAGGTATGAAACTTGTTGAGATATGATCACGGTCAGAATGAGTGCAATACGGATCGAAAAGCGGAAAATAACGAAAAGGGTGATTTTAAAGGCCATTCTATCAACTGTTGAGTTAACTAATTACTTTTCCCTATTTTATGAAAAATTATCCTTCCAGACGAAATTCCGAAATCAAATTGAACTTCAACAGTTGCTACAGTGGCCTTTAAAGTCACTCACTCAAGTAAAAAGCAGGACTTATATGAATGATGAATTTAGTTTTTTGTACACTGGAAATTGTCTGTAGGTTAAAAACTATTTTTTATACTGGGTGATGATTGAAGGTGGAATGAAAACTAGGATCGCAGCCGGATTCAAACCAGCGACTACTGGGTTGGCGGCCCGGTGCTCTACCAACTGAGCTATGAGGCCAAGCTGCTGACCACATTTTATTTCACTTCAATCATCAAGGGTTTTGCCCGAGCACCATGTGAATTCACGACGCCTTACTACCACTTGGTCGTATTCACACTTGCTGCCTAGTCAGGACTTCTCATCCCTATCCAAATCTAACTGAATCAGAGAGGGGAAGCATCATATTGATAATCATTTTGACCATCTGCCGTGGTTTGATAAACTAGTATTTATACTGGGGGATGACTGAAAATGCAATTAAAATTTGGACCGCGGCCGGGTTCCAGCTAGCGACTACCGGGTTGTAAAAGTAATCACCATCACTATATGCATTCATTTTAAACAAGTTCCCCCTACCTACATGAAATAAAAATATGGCATGGTAGTGATTCCCATTCTCATGGAGTAATTTACCTCTTGATCACCAAGAAATAACTTTGAGACAATTTTCAACCCAAGATAATTGAACGAAAGCTGAGTATAATATCTAATAAATGCAATACTCAAGGTTTATCGATTCTTAAGTATTAGTCTCAGAAATCATTGGAGTTAACGTGATTTATCCTTTATAGTATTCAGTCTAGTAAAAACACAATGCTATTGAAGATATTGATTCATTACAATCAAGCAACTTAACTTTTCTAACACCAGGAATAACTTGACACATTTTTCAGTAAAAGTATCCGATTGAACGAATAGAGTTATAGGCATCCTGAATAATATTTATCTATAAGGTAATGAAATCAACATGCTTATCACCTATGTAGTGGGATATTTATATGTTCTGACGACGATTTAAACATACATACCATGGACAAGATTTTAGAGTGAATTTTTCAGAAAGTTACTTCACTTTTCTACCCTTATCACCTGACTGTGAATAATGAAAAGAATTTCAGCACGTAAATAGTCGTATATTGATAATAATGAGCTAGTGGACCTTAGCAGACAGAAAGACAAAATCAACGTAGAACCTTGCACAAAATTGCATCCACTTCAGTTGCAACACATCACAGTAGAATACAAAGAACAAGTGAATAGAGAAATGCTGATATCAAAGTAAATTAAATAAAGGTGGATGACAGAGGAAGGGAAATTAAAGTCAGTCAGGACATTCAAGCTTTAGAAGACATCAAAGAGTGAATACATATGTGCCATTGTGACCGGTTTTCAGCCATTTCACTAAGAGTACTCAACCACTGATCCCTACCATATTGGGGACCCCGAGACATAAGAAGCTTGTGCAGCCTTCATCAACAGTCCTAAGTATATTCCCACTGATATACTCGTGAGAAACATATATTGCTGGGAAACAGGTGCTTCATAGTTTCTCTTCATCAAGATGAATGAACCGAGTGGACACTTCCAAGTTAAATGTACCCAAGAGCAAAAAACCAAACGGCCTCAGCTTCTTAAAAAAAGAGCACAGAGAACAACTGAAATAATTGAAATGCAACAAAGATTTGATAATAACGCGTCCGGACAAGGGTGTGGTCATACTAGACAGAACTGTCTATATTGAGAAAATGGTGGCTCTACCCTCGGAGGAAAAAAAACTCTATAATCCTGCTGACGAAAAAAATAAGACGGAACCGATTGAACCACAACTTACTGATGTTTTGAAAAGACTAAAAAATGACCAGCTAATAACGAATGATCTTTACGAACACATCAAACCAACAAGCTTCACAATTCCAGGACTTTATGGATTACCAAAAATTCACAAGGTCGATCTACCCTTCGTCGGATTCAGGATATGTCTGAATCTCCTTACCATCCAATTACGAAACAGCTAGCGAAAATCTAAGAGCCTGTAAGAAAACGGATCGTTTTCCACTCTGTACGTGATACTTTGAATTTGTTGATTGCATAAGAGATGAAGACGTATCTAATAAGTGTAGGATATCACCTTATGTTCAGTCACTTTCACCAATGTTCCACTTACCGAAACTATCTCATTCTTATGCAGATACATAGAAGATAACAACATAAATGTTGGGATACCGACCCCCGACCTTACGGTGTTGTTACTTTACTTAGATGCACATTTAACGACATCATTTATAAACAAAGACTGAACCGCCATGGGCTCCCCATTATGTCCACTAATAGCAGACTGCTTTATGGTCAGTTTGGAGAATGGACCCTTGGACAATACTTTTATTATCTGTGATCATCAATATCATTTGAATCACGTCCTACAAATATACAATAACTGCCATTCAGCAATTAGATTCACCCTTGAGGTAGAAAATCAATCGGAAATTCACTTTCTTGATGTAGAGCTGACAAGAACAGCTGATGGAACGTTAAGTAGATCAATTCATAGAAAAAAAATGTGGAATAGTCAACTGACGAACTTTAATAGCTGGGTTCCTATGAATCGTAAGCAAAATCTGATCATGTCTCTTGCCACTCGCACTAGGTGAATCTGCAGTCCCGATGTTTTAGAAGATTAGATTTCTGTTCTAAAGAACATCCTGATTGGAAACGGTTTCCCACCACGCCTCATAGACAAATACATCAAGCCCAAACCTTGTAAAGAGAACCTTACCACCGTGTCAAAAAAGACACTTTATATGAATCTAAACTTTAAAGGTGATTCTGTCGCTGACACTTTAAAAGGGAGGATATCAACTGCTACAAGGAGAACATTCTTTGCATCAACACTGAGACTAGTATTCTCTTGTCGCCCAACGATATCTAACAACTCAAAGGAGAAACTTTCACATCTAACCACTTCTATGTGCAAATGTATCAATTCACCAGCTCTTGTGGAGCTACGTATATAGGTTGTTCGATGCGATTGATATCAAGAGCACTATCCCGCGTAGTGATAAAAAAGTAACAATGGAGTGATAAGGAATGCTATAATCGAACACATCACGACATGAATCACCCTATCTCAAGAACCTCCTCCTTCGAAGTCATCTCTAAAGTGAAATCTTCCAAAGGCTGTATATCTTCGTATTCTCTGCATCCCCGAAGCTCTTCCCATCCAAATGGGGAGAACTAAACTGTGCATGCAAAAGATTGTTCAACCCCTTCTCCTTTCATGGTCTCAGTTCTCAGTCTTTGAAATTTCCTCTACCCCATCACCCACATTCCTTCTTTTTCCTGTTTTGACACTATTCACCTCCTAAGCAATTTGTTACTCATTCTTGTTACTATGCTCTGCCTGATCACAATTCAGTTTGCAATTGTCATTATGTCACTAATTATGTTGACATGCTTGACAAAATATTCTTAACTATCAAATCCTTACACTAGAAAAATGTATAAATTTGCAATTGTGCAGCTTTGAAAGTGAAAAATCTCTGAAAAGAGACTCTTAGCTGGAATACTTGTTCGTTCACTTCCAGGTTAATCACACTAAGAATAAAAGAGATTTAGGAGGAAATTTTAGGACATCCACTGAAATGGTGAGAAGCATCTATGTATGCTTAGGTACCGTCTGAAATAGGTTACAAGCGACCAAACCAAAAGTGACATCGTCTCATAAAGGTCCTTGACTGCCAATCTGAGGTGTACACAGAAATGTAGACGTTCCAGTTGAGGTTCACACGTTAACCGAGATGGGTGGTTGCAGTTTCTAGGCGATATGGTTATGAATCTACATCAGTGGTGCACACGCGTCCACATATTATCTTCATCTCATGTCATCATTGTTTTGTTTCCTTTCTTCCTCATTGCTCTATCTTTCACTTTGGTGCCAGCTACGTTGATAAGCTGATGTGATGTATGGCAACTATGCAATAGCACCAAGTCTCTTGTTGACACTGACTGACTTACGTACCGGTCGGTTCAACAGGTCACGTTCTCTGGTAGTTACCATATATAACAAAGATGATAGATTATTCCTGCTTATGAACTAAGTACTTCGATAAAATGAACCATATAGAATTAACATAAACCAGCTTGCTTTGTTGACTTGAGAAGGCAATCAGAGATACTAAAACGGATATCATGCCGGTCACTATAGTGTATTTAGATGTGATCCCTGTTATGCCACATAAACTTAACCAACATGAGATGTACTGAAGAGAAGTAACAGTCTACGATAAAACTTCTGCATAGTACTATCTAATAGTAATAGCTTTCGCCACAGAAATTAACTCGTGATGAGATATGCTTTTAGATTTACGACTAATCTCACACACATTAAATTCATCAAAACCAATGTTCTCATAAACAGTCGAATTGTTTTAGAATATTCTTACATCTGAAGCAATTCGTATTGACCTGAAGTTTCATGTAATGCGAAAGCATGCTTGAATATCCACCAGGAATAATTAGACGACAGTAATAAAGTCCAGCATCATTTTCAGTCACTGGTCCATGTGTATATTCAAATACTTTGTGGTCCTGATCATAAGTTTGATTCTGAAAATTGTGAATCAGACAAAAATGATAACAATTATAAGAGACTTGGTGTTATAAGAATATAACAGTCATACTACCATAAATGTTTATTTGATAATAACCTGGAAGGTACGTATATACACTACTGCTTAACGACTTAATTAATTACAAACCACTCTGGTTGATTTGTAGATTTTAACAGTCAGATTAGAGTGATTTAACCATACGACGATCGTTTCGCTCGTCTGTGGCCGAACTCATGAGTAGTTTACCTAGCATATTCATCTCAAGGAGCCGAAATAGTTCAGGTCACCTGAATCTACTCGACCAGTATGACCAAAATAGGACCAGGAATTACTGCTTAACAATCCGAGTTCCCACAGCACATATCACCACATCAAGTAAAAGGGCATTCAAGTGGAAGATGAACAAAAGAAAATTCAGTCAAAACAAATATAAAGTACGAAAAGAAAAAAACGAGGAATGAGAAAATGGTGAGATTCAGTATAGAGTCGTTAAGATGACGATATTGTGTGCATACATATGCGCCACTGACATCAGTTCCCAGCCATATCATCTACAGTCTCAAATCACTGCTTCCTCTTGTCCCGTGGACCCCAACCACCCAATCTGCATTGCTCCACAGGGCTCAAACTAACAGTCGAAGACTTCATCATACATTGCTGCCATGTTTTAGTCTGGCCACCTTCAGCCTCAACCTACTTCGGCCAACATTATGTGATGAGGCAGACGGCAACTAGGCATGTGTAATACGTCTCCCAACCAGCCATCTCCGTCGATGAAGGTTCACATCCTCGTCAACCGACCTACCTCTTCTCCCTTAAACTCTACTCCTGACTTCTGCGTTACTCACATGGTGACACCACGCAATACAGCCTATAATACGAACGCAACGGTGGTCAAACACTTGAAGCCAGCCTCCTCATGTATTCCACCTTCAATGGCTATATTTCACAGCCAAAGAGTAGAACAGACCGGACTGATGTGCAGTACACTCCGCCCTTAGTAGACAAATGAATATCACGGCGGCACCATAGGTGGCGTAAGTTGGCAAGAGCCAGTCGAGCCTTTTGCATCCGTGCAGAGATTTCATCGGGCTGGTCCCACTTCCAAGGTAAGTGAAGTGATCGACACACTCAATCACTACACTCTCCATTATTAACCGTGGCACCGTTGAAGACCAATTCTGGAGCAACAATTTGCATTTGGGTGGGGAAAAACCGATCCCAAACATTCTAAAATTGCCACTGAACGTGTCCAGAAGACTGCATCTTTTCAGCGTCTTCACCACATATTAGTACGTTTCGCTAGTTCATGACACGAATCACAGATCACATTTTGATCTTGGCTGAGAAGTAGTTTCCAACGGAAACTTGACACTATAGTTGGACAGTTGAAAAACTACTAAGATATAAGAAATGTCCATGTGGGTCGTGCAATTTGTAAATCACTTGTAAATCGATAATTATATTTTAAGGTATCTATGTGTTATAACTATTCTAACAATTTCATCTACTAGCAGAGTGTACCTCTAAATTCTACATTAGAATTAGAATTTTTGACACTAGTTAATCATTATGCGGGTAACAACCAGAAATCAATATGACAGCAGATGAAGAAACTTCCACTATTCTTACGAAATAATTGCAGTTATTTCGATTTAATCTCAAACAAATTATTTGTTATAACCTATAAGACTAATTAATAAACTAGTCCTTTTTGAACATGAAATTTCTTGTAGTTGATTTTTAAATTGGTCTAAATTAGTATAAAACCCACAACGCCGTGTACTTCAATATGTCCTGTGACTATATATCTTGATATTAGACTTGGTATCAACTCAATTGCAACGTCACTGAATACAGTACCAGGCTACTCGAATTTTAGTCTTTGAGACGGTATCAGCACTCCTATGACTAAATATGCCCTCTCTAACGAGTCATCGACCACAGCCATCATCTATACAATTGGTTACCTCTCACAATTTAGAACGTTATGCAACACTAAGTGAGAACACCATCTCAAGGTATTAGAAACAGGATTTAAGCAGATGAGTTCTCAAAGTATAACTTAAAGGCGGTTGACTAGAAAGTTACAACAGAACTAAAATATCTCTGATAAAATTTGCAGTTACTGAGAATAAACGAACGAAACGCACTCAGCCACCTTGTGCACATCAATCCAGTTGGCAATGAGGCTCACCTATAGTGTGAGGGTTAGTGATACTGCCTGCCTGCCCAAAACTCGATAGGTGGAGCAGGGTTTGAAAAAATGACCCACTGGTTGATAGTCATCTTCTTAAACTACTGAGTTACAGCTCCACTGAGATTATAGCATGTCTGTCATCCGGAAATTACCAACATTCAACTGGGCTTGTGGACAGACAGATAGAGATAAAATCAACATAGGACCTGGGATTACTGCTTAATGGTCCAACTTGCCACAACTCCTAACAGTACACACCACGTGAAAATGCACTAAAGTGAAAAACCAAGAAATGAAGAAGAACGAGATCAAAAGTAATAGAAAGTGGTGAAAAGAGCGAGAAAACGAATGAGAAAATTCTGAATTCAGTATGATAATCGAAATATAAATAATATGTGGACACATCCGCGCCACTGACATCCATTCTGAGTCATATCATCTATAGTCTCCAATCACTGATTTTTGTTGTCATGCTGCACTAATCAGGCAATCTACATTCCTCTACACGGTCTAAACCAGCAGTCAAACACTTTGGGCATTGGTGTCATTTATGTCTTAGTCCACCCACCTCACACCATTTCTCAACCTGAACCTACTTCAGTCAACATTGTGCAGAGAGGTAGGTGTGACTAGGCATGCGTAACACGTATCTCAGCCACTTTAATGGATGGAAGTTTACAAACTCATGGACTGACTCGCCTCTTCGCCCAGAAACGCTACGTCTGGCCTCCAACTTACTGACATGATGACTCCGTGACAGTATTCTACGAGGGCAACACCTGAAGTAGTCTCATATCCTCTTGTCTTACAGGCAATGTTTCACAACCAAATAGTAGGAGAACGAAGTAAAGTGCAGTACACATGACCCTTAGTAGACAATCAGATATTACAGCGACGCCATAAATAATGTAAGCTGGTGAAAGTCAATCGACCCTGCCTCATAGGTGTAGAGATTTCGTCGGCCACTGACCCACTAGCGCTAATCAACCCAACTTTTCATGTCAGTGAAGTGGTCAATGCATTCAACCATTTCACTCCCCAAGGTTAGACAAAGTGCCACTGAGGGCCGGTTCTGCAGTAATAAATTGCATTTAGATGGTGAGAAACGAAATCCAAATATTAACGAATCGCAACTCAAGATCTCCAGAAAAGTGTATCTTGTCAGGGTTTTCATCTAGCAGGACTATTTCATCCGCGTATTCCAGATCTGTCAAGGATTCCACTAGGATAATATCCATTACCGTAGTCAGATGATGAGACCACCATAGAAACGTCGGGAACGGCATAGGCTATAACACGCCCACACAATTTTAGGTAAAGCGCCTTCAACAAAGTGGTTTATTCACTTGGCACCCCTTACAGTGAGACACTGCCATAAGACATCTCGATCGAATGAGTCTAATACCACCTTCACGTCCCATAAAAAGCCAGTGTGCCCATGTTCCAGAACCTGGCGGAGAGTGAATATCGGGATAACTTGCAACCTCGATAAGAGTAGCAGGCCGACTTCAATGTTTCATTCAGGATCCGACCAGACAGCTGGAAACGAAACAGCCGCTGGAGGTCAGTAGAACCATTCCTCAGTGTTTCATCAATAGTTCCAGAGGTCCCTCCCGTAATAAACGCAGACACCCTTCTCTATCGTTTCAATAGCAGTTGGCCTATTTGCCCGTTTCTTCAAGTCTAAACATAATTGCCTGCTATTACTTATCCCCACCGTCCTTTCTATCCCTTCCGCCTTCGTCACCCACCATCTCTCACGGTCACTGAGAATTCTTGTCAGGCTACTTTTCAGTTGCATCCGTTCGTTATTGTGGTGCGAGCCTGAAGGAATGCGTTCACATTCACCCACTGATTTAGAAGCTGTTAACACCACACTGGCCGTTTTCGAACACTATGAGTTGGCCATGATCTTCACTGCTATGTTTACAGAAGACTGAAGATGACGCTAGGTTTCTTCAGAAGAGTGATGTCGTCCTGTGTCGATCACCGTCCAGCCTGTTATTCCCTGAAAGTTACCTTAGTTTCACCATCGTTAATCCACACCTATGATAGTCTTGCTGTTGGAGTCCCGCTACGTCCATTTAGGCGCGGGCAAACACGTGCGTCCATCAAGAAGTAATTTGACAGCTGTTTGAACACTACACCTTTACTTCCACAAACATTTATCAACCTCATTCAGCAGCTATATGAAGACGCCACATGCCAAATAATTCACAACGGAAAGCTCAGTGATGCCTTTGAAGTGAAGACAGGAAGAAGTAAGACAAGGTTGCCGCCTACCATCACCGATCGTCTTCCTGATTGTAGTGGACTGGATCATGCAACAAACTGTGAGGAGCGAGAAGAAGAGCATGCGCTGATTGACAGATGAAAAGACCCTAGAACATTCGGATTTCGCCCATGACGACTATTTATGTCTGTCTTATGTCACACAAACTCGAAGATCTACAGGCAAAAGCCAACAAGTTGACAGAAGAGGCAGGTTAGGGCAGCGAAGACGGGACTTCAAGTGAATGTAACAAAGACACAGGTAGGTGATGAAGATACCCAACCAACAACAATAACAACAACAACAACAACAAACACCAATCGCCATCAACGGGAGAAACCTAAAGCAAGTAGTCTCTTTCGCTTACCTAGGCAGCATCGTTTCAACTACAGGCGGCCGCACAGATGAGGGCGTCAAAGCCAGGATTGGAAAAGCAAGACAGGCCTTCACTAACTTGAAACCAGCACGGAAATCTACTGCACTCAGCATAAGAAACAAGATCAAGATTTTCAACACCAATTCAGTCAAGTCAGTGCTTCAATATGGTCGAGAAACTTGGTGCGTTACGAAAAGCATTTCCAACAAACTACAGATATTCAACAACGGCTGCCTGTGCTCGTTACTGAAGCTCAGATGGCCAGAAAGAACAAGCAACAAGGAACTCTGGCTGGTAGCGAACCAACCAAAAACCTATTGCCAAACAAAGATGTGGAAGAAAGTGGAGATAGATTGGGCATGCACTGAGAAGACCGTCTGGGGACATCACGCGCCAGGCACTCGAGTGGAACCCAGATGGGAAACGGCGAGTTGGGCATCCGGAAGCGATATGAAGGAGATCGTGTGAGGGAGAAATGAGAGCTTCTGGGCAGACTTGGAGCCAGGTTCAAAAGCCTGTAGAGAACAGAGTGAGATAGAGACGTGCTACTGAAGCCCTGTGTTCCACTAGGAACCCAATGGAGAAATAATAATATATAGTAATAATACAATGTTCAAACCGATGGAGATTACGTTTCAAACACGTGATCTTCAACCGACCCTCTCCAGTGATAACTGATAGCAGGATGGTGGATCGGTATCCACCGATGAGTTGAGGTCGGTGGACGCTACGTCTAACGCCCTCGCAATTTACACCTGAACTGGGTGCCGATCGGAAGAGAATGGTTGTCTAAGTACAACTGCTGACGAGTGACCACCATTATCTGTTTGTTTGGCCGTGATCCTGAAAGTCACCTAAGTTCATTTCTACCTGACTTGGCCTACCCACTTGTGCATCTAAATCAGCTGTTACGACAACCGCATCTAAACGTTTATCTCATACTAGGAGGCCAGACAGTTTTCGGCAGAACTCATCCTCACTGAATTCCAACTGCAGTCATGGAAGGCGTAAGCAGAGATTACAAAGAGACAACAGGAAGTTTCACTATTCTTTTTAGTCTTCACTATGCCATTCAATCTAACACCACACAGACAACTGCAATGTTGGAACCAGTTGAACAGTGCCTTTTTGGTCTTGAAATCTAAAGTTGTCTAGGACCTGCAAGACCGCAAGAACTAGCAGTCAAATCTCCAGAAACTTGAAGGGGTAATTTTTCAGACTTACCATATCGGTCAAGTGAGGATCAAGAAATAATTGCACGTGGTTCGTGCGTCTCAAAAATACAGGACATCCACGGTTCGATATGCAGGAGTTTTCGACAGTGAAGCCTATGTGACAAGCTGGCGGAGTGTGGACACTGATCTCTGATATGTATCTTGGAGTGCGGTCTCAGGAGACCAAGGTGCTGTTATGTGAACTCGAATGAAAAAAGGGTTGGTGCGTGAAAACAGAGCCCAAGGAATCAGTCACACACAGCCCTCTTACAAGTTTGATAGCATAGTTAGCTTTTTGAAAATCCGTCTATGAACTGATCATGTAAAGGAGCACTTGACTGTTATCACATTCCCAACCTGCCAGCAGTATGAATTCGCCCTCAGATACCCACCGTAGCGTAGCAATTTACACTACTACAATAACTGCTTTTTGTCTAAGCACTATCCAACTGACTTTTCTGGTATGGTAGGATCTCGAGGGGACAACCGTTCCACCGGCATAGCTCGCTGGGTCATGATATGCAGACCTGACAACCAAGTCAAGGTAGTAGCTATCGGTCGGGACTAGATTTGACTTCGAGGTATTCAGCACGATTTGACTCTAGCCAAAAAAGCACCTGAAAACGTGGGAGCACTTGACAGCCGTTTTCTTATTTGAATCTCTTCAACAGTGTGCACACACGACCATGTTAGTATTCTCAGTGATTCTCAAGATGGTTAATAACGAAGAGTGCTTTACAATATACACTATGTTATACAATAAAAACAACCCATTCACAGTACAACACGTTTAAGATTAAGATTTTGTTAAGCAAGAAGAATGAAGAAAAATATTGAGGATTCGTATATCAATAAAAGAGTAAAAATGAATGCTTCAGGATTTTAAAATTATACAAAAGAACTAAATACCGATTCCCTACGTTGAACTGAAAAGTTTCCCCAGTATGCTGCAATAATTTACTTAAATGTCCAACTGTGCGATAAAATGCTGGTTTCAGAACACTGGTTTGATTCATTCTCACTTCTATTCGGCTCCTAAATACAATTAACGCAAGATAGTTACTGAACAACTAGGAGCTACGATGGTTGTACTTTGACTGCAGATTAATTATAAAGAACCTTACCAAACACATCAATTTATTTGACAAGGTTACAATAATGAAGTCATTCCGCAATTACATGTTTTTTTTCGAGAGGTATATAGTAGAAGTTAAGATTTAGGATTTTATTATTTTCAACAATGAGAACGAAAAGAAAATCAAGTAACAAGTCCTGAAAATATTATCATATTATGTATGCATGAATATCCACTATTCCCTACCTTCTGTCTAAACATCAACGGTAACGTGAATCAAATTGATCAAGACTAAAATATATATCTGATACCATACGAAATATTCCAGAGTATTCAGAATTCTGATCGATTTAACAAACTAGCTATTTTCGTTACATGTTACTTACCCATCTATGAATTCCATGTTTTTCGAAAATATCTCTCAAAAAAGGTATGACCACCCCACGAACTGGTTCTTTCCCAAAAACGTTTGCCACATTTTTTTCTCTATCACTTAGGTTGGCTGGGATGAACTTCTCTTCCAGCTGATAAATTGCCAGTATTCCACTTGATGGATATGTTTTTAGCCCACAAGCAAACAGATAGTCGTCTCCCTTGCAAACCAAAGCGTCAGAATTGAAGTGAAAATTCTCAGGTGAAGTGTAATTATATATTGAATACGCTGTGGACACCGCAGTGAACAGAAAACACAGACGAAGAGATAAGTGCATTGTGAATGATGTGTGACAGATGATTCCTTTACATTGTTTAAATTAGGCTGACGAAGACAAGACAGAACAGGATTTTCTAGTCAAATCTCATGACTCATGTGATCAGAATGTTTTCACTTTGTCTTTATAGCTTTAGAAGTGCAGATTGTTTGATTTTTTAGCTATACAGTCTGACCCTCATTTAAGTCGACCGTTTTTTAATTGGCTGTTTTTGAGTTGAAACGTGGGCGTCAGGATAAGATTGGTAAGTACTTTAGGTCAATGGACAAATATTCTGGTAGTGTGTGGGCATGTGAGTTGTTTATATTTATCCTACAGTAACCCGATTTGCCTAGGAATGACTATCAATGTTTGACGACCACTGGATTGTTCTGGGTAAATGTATCGAAAGTTCTTTTGGCGTTCTTAAAGATGGGTATTTGATTACTACGTGCTTTACAAAAACCTCATGAGCGACGTTCTCCGATTAGTGAAAAGTAACTAAGTTAAAAATTCCATATTAGATTGGTCTACTTGATATGGTATGCTATGGAGTGACTTTAAAGGCCATCCTAGCAACAACTAAAATAACCAATCAGATTGCTATATTTTATTAAAATCTTCCTTTCGACCCGAAATGAAGAAACCTAACTGGCCATTTTAATCATTGGTAGGGTGATCTATGGAGTCGCCCCACCAAATACGCATAAGAGAGGGATTAGGCATACATTGAAATGGGCGTTTGAGGACATCGCGCGCTAAGCCGTCGAGTGGAACCTAAATGGGAAACGATGGGTCGGGCGTCCAAAGGTGACATGGAGGAGATCGTGTGAGGAAGAAATGAAAGCTTATGGGCGGTCGTGGAGCCAGGCTGGAGACATTGCAGAGAACAGAGTGAAATGGCTACGTGCTAGTGAAGCCCTATGTTTCACTGGGAATCCAAGGGATTAATTATAATTCAGTCTCTTATGCGGTAAATCAATCTATCGTGGATACTGAGCGTTCTGAAAGATTCGTCGCTAACTCATCGTTTAATTCCTTCTCTGTTGGTCTCGACAACTTGAGTATTTTATCACTTAACTTCTTCCTCTTCTTTTTGTCTTTGGTTTCAGTTGTTATATTGATGGCTGGTGTCGAATGACTCATCATATTTGCTCCCATGATTCGTTCCAATGTTTGTTGTTGAGTTGTAATTACTTTTCTGAATATGATTAATCTGTTGTATGCATCTGATATGATGAGTGGCACCACCTTTCTACTGCTTTGTTGTACAGTCTTTCATCCAGTAAGACGGTTGACGGGTGGTACATATCTAACACTTTGTGGCAAGATGTTCCGCCGCAAACACTCATGTAAGGAAAAAAGCTGCTGTCGAATGGAAGCTTTCTAACTGGTAAAGTCCCGACCGATAGCTGCTACCTTGACGTGGTGGTCGGGCTTGCATATCACAATGACCCAACGAGCTATGCTGGTGGAACGCTTGTTCCCTCGAGGTCCTACCATACCAGAAAGGTCTGTTGGGTAGTGGTTAGACGAAAAGCAGTTACCGTCATAGTGTAAATTGCTACACTATGATGGGGGTCTGAGGGCGAAGTCGTACTGCTGCTAGCTGGATGGGGTGTGACAGCAGTAAGGTGTTTCCCTTGGATGACCAGCAGTGCCAAGCTGATGCTGCCTTCTCAGTGGAAGGGGGGGTTAGAAAAGGTCGGCCCCAAAAATAACACACTCCACCACGCCCCACGGTCTGCCGGGCCGGCGGTGTTGGTTCACTTGTCGTTTCCTTTCGCTCATCCGGCCCCAAAAATACAAAAATTCAAAATAATCATACTCAAAAGGCTGGGTGTGACAGGCCTCAAGCAGATGTCCGATGGGCTCTGCGGTCACACAAATCTCTTTCAGGTACCTTAAGAAGAAATAGCCTTCCACGGTGTGGGCAGCCGGGAAGTGTCAACCGCCCTCACAACTCTGTCAGCACCCAAGTTTCTTCTGACTGCTATCCTCCTCCTCCATCATTACCTTCTAATCTTCCTTCACGTCTCTTAATTAATGATGCTGCATCATCTTCAATTTCTCCTACCTCTGCAGCCTTCGACAACGATCTGAGTCCACAGAACAGCGTCCCTGGTCTCCTTAAACCACGCTCCAAATTACATATTGGAGCCTTCAATGTCCGCACCCTCCGTCAAATTGGCCAACAGGCTTCGTTGGCAAAGACTCTAGCAACTCGGGGCATGGATGTGTGCTGTGTTTGTGAGACACGCATACAGGACCCAAGTGTGGTTATTCACCTGACCTCTCCTGACCAATCTGGTGAATCTGCAAAATTCACCCTTCGAGTTTCTGGAGATTCGATAGCTAGCTCTCGTGGTCTTGCAGGTGTAGGTATAGCATTAAGCACCAGGGCAGAAAACTCACTACTAGACTGGATCCCAGTTGATAGTCGCCTCTGCGCTATGAGGCTGAACGGCACAGTGAGAACTAAAAGGAATAGTGAGACTCGCCGTTGTCTCTTTGTAATCTCTGCTTACGCACCCACTGACTGTAGTTCGGATGAAGTGAAGGACGAGTTCTACCATAAACTGTCTAACCTCCTCTCGAAAGCCAAACGTTCGGACGTAGTGGTTGTTGCAGGTGACCTCAACGCACAGGTGGGTAGACTGAGTGAGGCAGAAAGGCACTTAGGTGGCACTTTCGGAATCCCAGCTGAACGTACAGATAACGGTGATCGCCTATTACAACTATGCTCAGATAACCGCCTATTTTTAGCCAGCACAAATTTCAGACATAAAGAAAGGCACTGTCTGACCTGGCGTCCACCGAGCTCGACTCAGCGATGGACACAGATAGACCACATTGCTATTAGTCATCGCTGGAGAGGATCGGTGGAAGACTGCCGCTCCTTCTGGAGTACGTGTTTGGACAGCGATCATGCGTTGGTCCGAGCACGTATATGCCTGCGTCTCAATGGACGTAGAAAAAATTTGGCAACAAAACCACTACGAGTTCTGCTGGACAACGAAAACACCAAAGCCGTGTTCAGTGAGAAGTTGGCTAGGCAGTTATCGGAACAAAAGACTGTCACTCATCCAGAAGAAGCTTGGTGCCATCTTCAGTCTACTGTAAAAGCAGCACTGGAGACTGTAGCCGACTCCAAGATAATGGCTAAAAAGAGCCAGTGGATATCAGCAGCTTCTTCCAAACTAATGGATGCACGTGAATGCATCCCTGCAGGCTCTGAGTACAATGAAGAGCGAGCGCAACTTAAAAATAAACTGACGAAAAGTCTGCGCAACGATCGTGAACAGTGGTGGGCAGCAAAGGCTAAAGAGATGGAAAAGGCAGCGGCGATCGGTAACAGTAGACAGTTATTTAGACTTATTAAGGAGACTGGGGGGAAATGGTCAACAACAGTTAGTGAGGTTATAGCGGAGAAGGACGGATCGGCGATTCACTCGCAGGGAAGGCGACTGGGACGATGGGCAGAACACTTTGAGGAACAGTTTAACTGGCCTCCAGCCACCATTGCGCTGCCCGCTATCCAGTCGGACCCTGAATGGGACATAGAGACAGGTCCCCCAACACTAGAAGAAGTTGAGAAAGCGGTAGGTAGCCTGAAACGGGGAAGGGCAGCAGGACCAGACGGACTACCTGCTGAGGTATACAAGAATGGTGGTAGAGTTCTCTTAGTCAGGCTAACGGAAGTGTTAGCCAGTATATGGGAATCAAATACGATCCCCTCCGACTGGTCTAAGTCACTCATCATCCCAGTCTTCAAGAAAGGCGAGAAGTCCTCTTGTGATAACCACAGAGGAATCAGCCTGACAAACATAGTGTCTAAGATCCTAAGTTCTATAATTCTCCGACGCCTGAGTGGAGCTCGGGAACAGCAAGCCCGAGAAAACCAGGCAGGCTTTAGACCTGGCCGTGGATGTATCGACCAAATATTCACACTGCGCCAGGTCCTGGAACATAGGCATGCTTACAGACGCCCGACAATAGCTGTATTTCTCGACCTGAAGGCGGCATTTGACTCCGTTGATCGAGAAGTCTTATGGCAGTGTCTGTCACTGAAAGGCGTGCCTAGTAAGTACATCACCTTATTGAAAGCTCTCTACTCGAACACTTGTGGGCATGTTAGAGCCTATGGTGAGTTGTCCAGGGAGCTATACTCATCAAGTGGTGTCCGTCAAGGATGCCCACTATCCCCATTCTTATTTAATTTTATCATAGATATTCTTATGGAGGTTTCCCTCTCGTCACCTAATTACAAAGACGTTGACCGGATCACAGGTGAATTTTCCTTAGATCTAGAATATGCAGATGACATAGTCCTGTTAGGTGAAGACGCTGACAAGATGCAGAGTCTTCTGAACACTTTGAGTGGGAATTTGAGAATGTTTGGGATGCGATTTTCACCACCCAAATGCAAATTTTTGCTCCAGGACTGGTCTTCAGCGGTACCGCGGTTAACAATAGAGAGTGAAGTGGTTGAGTGTGTTGACCACTTCACTTACCTGGGAAGTAGGATCAACCCGGTGGGTTAGTTGCCGATGAGATTTCTGCACGGATACAAAAGGCTCGATTGGCTTTTGCCAATTTGCGCCACCTATGGCGCCGCCGTGATATTCGTTTGTCTATTAAGGGTCGCGTGTACTGCACAGCAGTCCGCTCTGTTCTACTGTATGGCTGTGAAACATGGCCATTGAAAGTGGAAGACATGAGAAGGTTACAGGTATTTGACCACCGTTGCCTTCGTAGTATAGGACGTATTCCGTGGTGTCACCATGTGAGTAATGCAGAAGTTAGGTGTAGAGTTTTAGGGAGAAGAGGTAAGTCAGTCGACGAGGTTGTGAACCTTCATCGACTGAGATGGTTGGGACACGTACTACGTATGCCTAGTCACCGATTGCCTCGTCACACAATGTTGGCTGAGGTGGGTTCAGGCTGGAAAAAGGCCCGAGGTGGCCAGACTAAAACATGGCACCAATGTATGAAGTCTCTGACTGTTGGTTTAAGCCATG